TTTGATATTCAAGATTTTTTTTTTGTTTGTTTAGACATCACCAATAATCCCATAGCTATAGAGATACCACAATTTTCTGTAATCTTCATAACAAAATGAGATATCAATAAGATTCATAACAAAAGGAGATTAAAATTTTAATCACATGCTGGCATCACCCTCTTGTTCCATTGACCATGGTCAAAACCGGGAGAATATGAGACTAAGTCTGAGGGAGAATCAATTGTTCAATTAGAGCAGTTCCACCGTGGGAAAGGCCCCTAGGGCTATCCACTATTTAATCAACCTAGTGAACAGTAATTGCCCTTAATGAATAATAATTGTCTTTTGCATCTCCACCTTACACTTGAATAGCCCTGGCAATAGGTAAATAAAATAATAATATTTTTTGCAACTTGCTTGGAATTTCCTATGCACTCTCCACTCCCTCATGTCACTACCTCTCTTTCCACTCATCTTTCTCACTTCTCTCCATTTTTCTGAAGTTCCTCTCTCTCTCTCTCTCTCTCTATCTCTCTAAGCTCTCGACACTCTCATTCTCTCTAGAGCTCCGAGAGCTCTCACCCACTTTCCTCTTTGAAAATTAAACAAATCAAACTCCAAAATCATGAAACCTTAATCTCTGGGACTAAAGGATCCTAGCTATACCGTTGCATGCGTCATCAGACCATCACGGTGTAAACCACCATTGAAGCCGAGAGCTTCAAGATCTGAAACTTGAACCCAGGTGAGGTTCTCTATACAAATCTTGTTTCATTATGTCTTAATGTTGATTGGGACAAGATTTGTGGTATTTTTCTAGTTCGAAACCAGATGTTTAACCCCCTACAATTTCTCTAAAACCTTGCCCATTTTTTGGTCACCTCCTCGGAGTAAACTCCGGCAAGTTTGTGGGTTCTGGAGCTCTTGCTCAGTTTGAATCCATTCCAAGTACTTAAATGCCTCTTTGCATGTGAAAATTAGTTGGAAATTACTAAGGTTTGGCATGCTTGCATACTGTTTTTCCCCATTTCCAGAATCCGGCGAAGAAACCCAGCCCTTGCAGGCCATTTTCCGGCCATAAAAAAGTGGCTAACGTCTGGGTGACGTCAGCCTTGCGTCACGTTGCCTTCGAGCACTTAGGTTGGCAACTCGTGTCGAGCCTCTCCCTCAGGCCTGCTCGGGCTCCCTCACCAGCACACGCTGGGCTTGCTTGCTTGGGCTCTCTGCCACTGTTCGCGGGCCTGTCCCTCGGGCTCCAGCACACGTTGAAGCTGCTCTTACAATCCAAAAGATCAAAAGCAGTGGAAGGAATCAGAGAGTCGAGAGATCCTAAAAGCCAGAACAACAAAACTTTTGTTTATTTATTTCTATTTACTCAGGTTTATTGTTTTCAGAATTTTGATCATTCTTAAAAATAATAACTTGATATAATCCACATGTTGCTATTTAATAGGGTACAAGGGTCTATATATGTGTCACATCAACACACTAACATATTATTTGATGGAATACTAACAAAAGTACTACATTGATTTGCAGCACCAATATTTAGGGACGACATTGATCGATTTTCAATTTCAGGGACCATTTTAATGGGATGGGTCAATTCCAAGGACCATTTGTTAAATCTCATGTTATGACAATACATTATAGTTCAAATCAAATACTACTAACAGTAAGATTGATCATTTGATTTGTTTGAACACCAGATGACGCACTTAACCGTAGTGCAAATTAATTTTTAAAAATATTTATGGAAATGAAATCAAGTTCTTGGGAAATTATTTTATTTTTTTTTGTCAAAAAGAGAAAAATTTATTAAAGCTGAATGGCAAAGAAATCTAGTAAGCAAAAGAAATAAAAGGAAAAAACAGCCTCCAAACATGACGTGGCCGGGGTTGGTGTTTTTACCAAAAACCAAACTTATTGGAGAAAATTGACCAAAAAACGAAAACTTATCGGAGAAAAGTCCAATCCCGAAACACCCTCCCCCACTCTCGCTCCCTACACGCTCTCCCAATCTTCCCCCACTTTCCCCGCACGATAAACCAGCGCGTGAAAATACCCGCCTGTCTCAAACCGCAACGCTCCCAGTCCCTGATTCTGAGGGCTGATCTCACTCCCTCTTTCTCTCTCTCACTCGGATCTCAATCTCACTCTCTCTCCTCCCACCCACCAAACCCACCCACCCCCACACCCAGCTATATATAAATTACACCCAGCAACGTATACACTTGACACACACCTATACAGACAATAACACCACCGTCGCCGCCACCTCTAGCATCACCGCCGGCCCGACCCGACTATGACCACATCAGCGTTCCAAATCCGCTCCCCATTTTCCCGAAACCCCGCCCTCTCTTTCTCCTCCAAGCCCTCCCTCTCCGCTTTCTCAGTAACTCCCGCCTCGCGCCGCCGGGCTCCTCCGCGGCTGGTCGTGGTGCTGTCTGCTGCGAACCTCGATGCCAAGCCCACCGTCCTCGTCTCAGAGAAGCTCGGAGAACCCGGAATCAACCTCCTCAAGCAGTTCGCTAATGTCGACTGCTCCTACAATCTCAGCCCCGAGGAGCTCTGCACCAAGATCTCGCTCTGCGACGCGTTGATCGTGCGGAGCGGGACCAAGGTCACCCGCGAGGTGTTCGAGTCCTCCGGCGGGAGGTTGAAGGTTGTGGGAAGAGCTGGCGTCGGCATCGACAACGTGGATCTGGCTGCGGCGACTGAGTTCGGGTGCTTGGTGGTGAACGCCCCCACGGCCAACACCGTTGCGGCCGCCGAGCACGGGATTGCTCTCTTGACAGCCATGGCTCGCAACGTCGCTCAGGCCGACGCGTCTGTGAAAGCCGGTGAGTAATTGCAATCATTCCTCTGTTTCGGGAAATGAAAGTTCGTTGAGGTATTTCGTCGAACAGTTGTGATTCAATTTCGTTGTGTTGCAGGGAAATGGGAGAGGAACAAGTATGTAGGTGTTTCCCTTGTTGGGAAGACCTTAGCCGTGATGGGGTTCGGGAAAGTTGGATCTGAAGTGGCTCGGCGTGCCAAGGGGCTCGGTATGCACGTGATTTCCCACGACCCGTACGCCCCGGCGGATCGTGCTCGTGCCATTGGTGTGGAGCTTGTGAGCTTCGATGAGGCTTTGGCCACCGCCGATTTCATATCTTTGCACATGCCTCTCACTCCAGCCACCAACAAGGTTCTAAATGATGACACTTTTGCTAAGATGAAGAAGGGAGTTCGAATCGTGAACGTCGCTCGTGGTGGTGTCATTGATGAGGATGCACTCCTCAGGGCGCTCGATGCCGGAATTGTTGCTCAGGTTTGGTTCTTACCCTTTACATATTCAAATGCCATATGCATTTCAATATTGTGCAGGAAAGTTGGAAAAGTCATTTATTTTTTTCGTTTGTAGGCTGCTCTTGATGTGTTCACGGTGGAGCCACCGCCACAGGGCAACAAGTTGGTGTTGCATGAGAGAGTTACTGCTACTCCTCACCTTGGTGCCAGTACCATGGAAGCACAGGTAGCCTTTGCTGGTTTGCATCTATATCTTAATGCCTAGTTTTTGTTTCACCTGGTATCTTATGATTTTTTAATTTGATGTACAGGAAGGTGTGGCCGTTGAAATTGCTGAAGCTGTCGTCGGAGCCTTGAAAGGGGAGCTTGCCGCCACTGCAGTCAATGCACCAATGGTTCCCGCTGAGGTATCATCTCAATTGCCCAATATTATGTCTCTTGCATTTCGAGTGGTTTGTCTTGTGCGTTTCCCTGCAGGGTTCTAAGAAGTCTCTGGGTAGTTTATTTACTGTCTGCTCCCAAAATGTTACAATTGAATTGATTAATGGAAATGTGGTTCTTGATCTGCAGAGCTACTTGTTATGTTTCTGAGTATGAATTTTTCAAGATTCAAATCCGTAATCTAAAACGTTTGTATTGCGTTAGTGTATGGCAAAAAATGGGATGTGGGGATGCGCTTTCGATACCCAGTACTTAAAACTTCAATTGTTATTCTTACCGATGTAATATTTAGATTAAATTCTTCAGTCTCTTGCAACAATTTACAATTTCTCTTGCCATTCTTGATTGTAGGTTTTGACAGAACTGAAGCCTTATGTTGTGCTTGCTGAGAAGCTTGGAAGACTGGCTGTCCAGTTAGTGGCAGGAGGTAGCGGTGTGAAAAATGTCAAGGTCTCATATGCGTCAGCTAGGGCTCCTGATGACCTTGACACTAGGCTGCTCCGAGCCATGATTACCAAGGGTCTCATTGAGCCCATATCCAGCGTTTTCGTGAATCTGGTTAATGCAGATTTCACTGCTAAACAGAGAGGACTCAGGATAACAGAAGAGCGAACAATGCTTGATGGTTCGCCCGAAAGTCCACTTGATTCCATCCAAGTGCAGATTGCCAACGTGGAATCCAAATTTGCCAGTGCGATATCAGAGAGCGGAGAGATCACGGTGGAGGGTCGGGTTAAGGATGGGGTCCCTCACTTGACAAAGGTTGGATCATTCGAAGTTGATGTGAGTTTGGAAGGTAGCATAATCCTCTGCAGACAGGTTGATCAGCCGGGTATGATAGGACTGGTCGGAAGCATTTTAGGAGAGGAGAATGTGAATGTCAGTTTCATGAGCGTTGGAAGGATTGCCCCGCGAAAGCAGGCTGTGATGGCAATTGGAGTGGATGAACAACCCAGCAAGCAGTCTTTGAAAAGGATTGGGGATGTTCCAGCCATTGAAGAGTTTGTTTTCCTCAAGTTGTAGACTCACTCTGCCTGCCTTATGTTTTGCTTCACTTTTGGTGGCATTGCTACATGTTACCTGCCCGATTTTGGAAATCCGTATGATTTTGTGGTAGATTTAGGTGAGAAGGATGAATAATTCGGTTTGCGACAACAAGGATGTACTTTATTTTAGCTTTTATTGTCCCCAAATTTCTAGTTCCATTTTGGTTTGCCCTATTGAGATGAAATCACCATGCTGTGTGCTCTGTTTTCTTTGGAATGCTATAAATTGTTCTGCAGTTTCAATAGTGAATTATAATTTACTGTATGAATTGCTTTCATCGCAATAAGAGAATGTGTCCTTTCCCCTGCTGGAACTAAAAGCGCTTCTGCATTTCTTAAAAGCACTTACATTTGTCGTTGAACTCATCGTCGCACGGATCTTATTTCCATAACTTGTGAAACTTTCTATATATTACATGCGCGAGAATCATTTTTCCGGCATTCATTCGATGCCAGAGATTCCAAAGCTTGAACTCTTTAATTCATGAACCAGAAATGAAAGGAACCTGAGCTACTGTCGTCGGTAGGGAGATGTGGAGGTTTTGAACTGCTAAGGGCTCGTTTGGATGTGCTTTTAAAATTATTGAAAGCGCTTTTAGAGAAAATATTTTTTTTATTCTAAAAGCACTTTAAGTGATTTTCCAAAATTTACTTTCATTTTTACTAAGAATTGGTTCTAAAAACATTTTCACCGAAAGCGCTTTCAGTCATTTCAAAAGCACATCCAAACAAGCTCTAAATAGGCAGCGAAACCAGCGGCATAACCAGCAAGAGCAAAACCACTCACCTGCACAATGCACAAAGGACAGTGAGTTTTTTCATCAACACCCAAGGGAAGACTAAACCTGAAAGATGATACCGTAAACAGTTTTCGAAAACAGTTGATACCTTCCGCAAGTACCAGAAGAAGTCCACCTTTTCCATCCCCATAAAAGCGACTCCAGCTGCAGAACCAATAACTAGCATGGATCCACCAGTACTAGCACAATATGCAACCAGCTGCCAAAACTCAGAATCCTGGGGAAAGGTAGTGAGATCGTACATCCCCATAGTTGCGGCAACCAGTGGAACATTGTCTACAATCGCTGATCAACTCCTATTGAACTTGCAATCAGCTCAATATTGGGAATGTGGGCATCCAGGTAATTTGCTATTTCTCCAAGAATTCCTGCCGCCTCCAGGCTAGAGTACAAGAAAAGTTAAAATGCAGAAAGTGAGACTTATAACTCTCGAAGCCACTTTTTACAAGCAGCGGATAACTTCTGCGTAGCCAAGGAAAAGAAGTTTACGATTCACCTGCGAACAGACAATAGGATGCCAAGGAAGAAGAGTGCTCCTTGAGTGTCAATCCGGGACAAGGCCTGCGGTACTTTTAACCTGTGTCTTTCCGATTCACCGTAATGAATAGCATCAGTCAGAATCCAAAGTACTCCAAGTCCCAGCAACATACCCATGTGCGGAGGCAAACCAGTTAGGGCCTTGAACACTGGAACAAAAACCAAAGCTCCAATGCCTACAGAGAAAACAAGCTGTCCCCGAGGTGCCATCTCCTCAGATGCCATAACATCGGACGTGTCTGGTCCTTCCCCACTTACTCCACTGAATGGAAGAAAAAACAGATCATATCATTCATCTATGATTTACCGAGTTTAATACTAACTTTCATGTCTCAATTCCGTGTCTTTGGTTTGAAAATGAAAAACAAATACCTAGTCAGGGACATAAGCGCCAGTGGAACAGCAAGACAGACGGCCGAAGGTATAAACAAGGTCTGCAAGTAAGAAATACATATTCATTTTATGTCAGAATATTGAAAAAATATTATTCCCTTTGAGGATGATATTTTACGTAGACAAAGTGTCGAATATCTAGACATCCAACTTGGCAGATATGACCAGAAACTCTAAATGGAAAGATCAATTTCACGTTTTTACAAAACTTTTTCACATACCTCTAAAGCAATCGTGAGGCGTGGACGAGGCGTCCAAGCAATAGCCCGGCCTAGGCGTGAGGCAAAGCCTCAAGGAACCTAAATTTTTTAATATATACACTGATCGTACACATATATTATATTAAAAAAAAGATTATTAATCAATAATCATTTTGAGCACGCGCACGCGCGCACACACACACATATATATATATATATATATAATAGAGGATGAAAAGCACAATGAGCACACAAATAACAATGCATGTTGACAGCACACATCCATTATATAAAAAAATATAAAATTCAGAAAAAAAAGGCAGAGAGACGATAGTGCAAGCTAGAGGTATAAGGCAGTTAAAACCTACCCAAAATTTGCGTTTGGGATTAAAAAAAAAAAAATTAAATAAAAAATAACACCGCTGAGGTGCACTTAGGCGGCTCCGGTGACGCTTTCCTCCCACTCCCTCAAAACAGAGGTAGCAACTCTCATGCCCATCCTCAGAGGACACCTAAGCGCACCTTGAGGCGAGCCTTTTAAAACATACAGAAGATCGATGGAAGATAAAAAACCAATAGATCTATCATCCAATTGCAACAGATTTGCAGTTCAACCTTTCCATATTCAGGATAGAACTAACATACATCATATAGCATAAATCCCTAATCAACAGATAATAGGACAATGCGAAAAAAACAAGTAAATAAAAAGAAGTTATTTGGAACGAAGAAAAGGACCTTCATTATCTCCAATGTGGATATCTGACCATGTATCCACAGCATAGTAGTGGTAACATCACCAATAGGAGTCCATGCACCACCGGCATTTGCTGCTATGACAACAACAGCTCCTAAGAGCCTGTCAATAAAATACAATTCAGTAAACCAGGCAGAAAATCACGCATCTATTTGAGCTCCATTACTGTACAGAAAATATAGTACAACTTCATAAATGACCGAATCGGCTAGGAACTATGAACATGCTAAAGTGGTTGCTTAAAGAAACAATATTATGAGTACCACAAAAAGTTCCCTCTAAATGTGCAATCTTCCTTGGTTGTTTCAGAGATTTTAAAAAAGATTCTTACATACAAAAGATATATAGTAGATGGTGAACATACTTGCGAAATTCTGACTGAGGAACTAATTTTCGCAATAAAGAAACCATGAAAATGGTAGACGTCAAGTTGTCAAGAATTGCACTAAGGAGAAAAGTGACAAAACCCACCTGAAAAAATTTCAACAATAACTTGTTATTGCTTGATACTTGATACATAAAGTAATGTAAGCAGTAAAAGAACAAGCTTGTCACAAAAAAGTTTAATTTCTATTGAACTCTCTTATCTGTTTGAATTTTAGAGGACAAAAAAATCTATACCACAGAAAATACAGTGAAATATGGTATGTTCCAAGAAGTTGATTGAATATTCCAAATGTGCAGTAGAAAGGATTATTCGCATGACAGCAGAAGCAAAGAACTCACCACCCAAAGAAGCGTCCTTGGCTTTCGAGTGGTTATATTGTCAGTAACCAGCTTAAATCCTTGATGTGAATCAACTATCTCGACAATGGTCATTGCACCAAGCAAGAAAAACACTATTTCACTGGCTTCAGCAAATGCATGTTGTAACTCTGAAACAGCTATATCTGTTGAAGGAGCCTACAGAAGTATCAAAATTAGGTTTGGGAGAAGGAACTGTGTACAAGATATTGCAAACCCGGTTGCAGTTTCAAGTAGTAAATATAAATCTTACCCCAATACTTCTTACTGCCCACAAGCTCACAGCCATTAACAGACCTACTCCACTTTTGTTGAAGGCCAGCGATTCTTCAAAAATGATGCCCACATATCCTATTCCGAACAGCAATGCCATGGCAACATCCTGTATCATGAGTTTGTCTTATCAACTTAGTGTACAATTATATGCTTAAGAAGCACTTATGATATCATGGGAAAGGCACCTTTAAGCAATGACGCTGCAAATAAAATGTTACCTGATTGGCAGCAACCCAGGAGTGGTAAATTGCCACTGCCCCTGTTCCAGCTGCTGCAAATACTGCAATGGCTTTCAGCAAATAAGTCTTCGGCCGGTACCTGGCCTTAAATTCTTCCGAGCTTGTTTCGTCAACCGAACATATATGATAACATGATCCAGAACTTGGGTTCAACTCCTGATAATATGCTAAACGGTGATTCAAAACTTTCGAGTTTCGACAATTTAGTTTCCAAACAGCAACTAATAGGCAATCCAAGAGAAACAGGCAATCCAAGAGAAACCCATGTCTTGTACTATTAGGCAATTCCATTCCCAATCTTGAGGGCAGCCATTAGACTGCCTATCAGCGAGCTAGGGCTGCTGAAGAAGCAGATGAAGGGGATGCCGGTAGTAGTCTGCATTGGTTCTTGTTTGTGAGTGTTTGGCCAGTTGCATGGAAATTGAAAAGGATTTACAGAGGTGTGGAGGGAGTGGAAATGGGAGTGGAAGTAGTGTTTCTTGGTGGGTTAGTCATATTATTATTACCGGAAAGTAGTATTTCTGGGCCGTCGCTCTCATCCAACGGTCGACATAAAAAAATAATTTTTCGTATTTTTATTGATTCTTCATATTCCATTTTTATAATTTCTCTTAATATTTATCCATGTTTTTATTGGCTAAAATACTATTGGAGAGAAAAGAAATTGTTAGTCAACATTTATTATTTCAAGATGTGGGTTTACCATGTGTAAAGGAAAAATACGGGTCTTCTCTCCGCCGTGAGAGTGCTTATCTCCTCCGTGAGTATCTTCTCTCCACTATGAGAGTGCTTATCCCCTCCGTGTGAGTGGCGTGGAGCTTCGTCCGCCAGATGGAATTACAGAGAACAACAGAGTGAGGTGCAGAATGGGAAGTAAACGCAAAAGGAATATCAATAAATACCCCCAACAGGAACATAGCAGAAGGGAGGGACTTAATAACCCACAACCGCCCAACTTCTCAGAGGTAAATTTACTTTACTCAACTAACAGGAATATGGGCATTATTGGTATATGAGAAGTGTGTGGTAAGAAGAAGACAAAAAAGGAAATTGAGCAAAGCTCCTGGGAAACTTTACACTAAATCCACTGGGTAAGAAGAAGACAAGAAAGGAAACCGAGCAACGCTCCTGGGAAACTTTACACTAAATCCACTGGTATACGTAGGACAATTTCCATATCCTTCTGTTTTGTGTGGTCATGGTTAAGCCACATTAATATTTTATATTATTTTTTTTTATAAAGATAATAAGACAAAAATAAATAGTAATATAAAATGTTGACGTGACATAACCGTGACCACACAAACAGGAGGGCATGGAAGGACATGGAAAAAGGAAGAGCAGACAATCCTTGTCCGTATACGCTGTTGGGAAAGGCAGTAGTGTTGGAACCCACACGAAGAGACAGATGACTGTTGCTGAGGTGGAGGAATTGGTGGTTCACCTTGAGAGGACTGATGAGTCCATTTTATACTATATATTATTCCCTATTCTTGATATATTTTGATTATTATTTTGGTGAGATTTTGATGCTTTGCAATGTATTTTTAATGTAGGACATGCAAACTTGTTTTGAGTATAAAGTAGTCAAATGGTGGGATTTTTGAGTGATTTCAATTGAAGCAGGTTCGTGGATCTGTCAAGAAGATTGTATCAAAATTTCATAATTTTATCTCGAAGCATATGATCGTGAAGAATTAATTTATGCCCAGCGCGCGGTGTTGACAGATTGGGCTACATAGCTTATTTGCGACTTTTGAGCTAAAAGATGATGGATTTTGGATTTGGGTTCCTCTTGGAACTTGAAGAGGATGTCCTAATCCTTAATTCAAGTCGTTTTGGGCTTGTTTTAGAGCCCTAGAAGTCCAAAAACGTGGTTGATTTGTGGCCGGGCAGATTTCCCATATTTGATTAGGATTATGTTTCATAATTTATTTTAATTTATTTGGTTTCCTAGTATTATTCTAAGACCTTTTCTAGGTAGGGTTTTAATTTGAAGTAGTATAAATCAAGATATTTAGCCATTAGGGTTGGGGGGACACAACATTAGGAGAGATGCATTATTTTGGAGAACTTCAAACTTTTTACCTTCAAGGTGTTTTTAATCAATTTTCTATTTAATGATATTTTCTTTAGTTTTTATTATGATTGTTCGTAACTAGTTTTTTTGCTAGGGCGAAGCCATAAGCCTTAGCCTGAATATGTGATTTTATTAATTTGCTTATGAATGGATGCATGCTTGCTTTGAATTATTAATCACTGTGATTAAATTATCTAATTGTCTTAGTGATTGGCGACCATTAGGGTTTTTAGACAAGTAATTTGATGCAATTATTATTGGAATATCACCCTAAAATTGAGGAGGGCTTCTTAAGATTAGTAATTGTAAGTTCACTTAAGGCGAACATCACGCTCTTAAGGGTTGCATGATTTTTCAAAGGGTTTTCACAAAGCTTAATGAGTCTTGTATGTTTATATTTGATATGAACATCACAGACAGATTGCATGTTAGATATACGTTTTCGATTGAACATCACGAGGAAAATATGTATTAGGAAAGCCTAACCTTTAAAGCATGTATGTAGAAATTCATAAGTAATTGGTAAAATTGCATAGAATTGTTAATGGTGACGGCATAACCCTAGTGTTTAAATTATTTTCCAAAACTTTTGTCTTTTGCTTTCTTTACTTTGCCAATTATTTAATTGTTTTTATTTAAATTCGTTTTTGTTATTTTAAATTCCAAAATCAACATTTTCGAAACTTTGTTCTAAATAATTAAATAAGAATTAGTTTAAATACAAATTATTCATTCAATTTCTGTGGAAAACGATCTTGCTTGAGCTGCTATACTACGACAACCTTGTACTCTTGCAAGTATTTTGTGTGTTTTTATCCCTACCTTTGCAAGTGGTAAAATCCCTATCAAGAAATTGGCGCCGTTGCCGGGGATTGTTTCAAATAATTTGTGTTTATCATATTCTTAGTTAATTATTTTTGTATATATCTTTTTACTTGTTGATTTTATTTCTATTTTTGTAGGTTTTGTTTTGTTGGTTTTAAGAACAGTTGAGTGATGGGCTGAAATCTACAACCAACAGGAGGTTTGCCTTCATGGAATTATATCAATATGAGGAACTCTCAAAGGCCTAGGTGCGATCCATACTCAAAATTTTACAACCCAAGGTGGACAGAGCAGCCTAGTTCTATGTGGATGGGTAATCAAGAGCCCTTTGAATTGCATAGATGACAAACTTGCTGAATTGGCAGAGTGTGTCAAGTAATTTGTTAATAGCAAGACGAATACCAAACCATTAACAAAGATAATTGAAGAGCAAGATGAGCAACTTGGCGTATCAATTCACAGAAAACAAGAACGATTCATATTCAAACTCTTACACTCAGTGGATAGAGCATCCTGCTTTGTGGGTAAGCAATCAACAGGCTTCTCAGCAGCCCTGTGTGCCACAAAAACTTTCTTTGGAGAACCAGATTGCTAAGTTGGAGGAGTCCACTAGGTTGTTTATGGAGAGTACCCCAAAGTTGCAGAAAATAAAATCAATCAACAATCTGGAGCAGCAAATTGGGTAGCTCGCATACCAATTAGCAGAACAAGAAAACGACTCCGATTAAATTTTTCCTACTCAACCAATTGCTAACCAGCAAGTTTTAGAAGAGTGCTATGCTGGTCAAAGTTTGAGATGGGAAAAAAAACCAACGATAGGATGGAGGAATCTGCATTAGAAGTGCCACCAGCCAGTGACACATGCCCAAAGGAGGAAACAACGCCAGCTAACCCTAAACTTTTCCCTGAACCTGTTATTCCACAAGTTATTGAGCCACCTATGCCTTTTTCCTAAAGGCTGCCGCATACCACAATAGATCAGCACACTCAAGATTCTATGCAGACACATGCAAAAGTGCACGTTAATCTGCCGTTACGGGATGCAACTGAGAAAGCTCCAAAGCAATCACTAAATTCCAATTTATATGAGGCTCCAAGGCAACCCGCTAAGTAGCAGGAATGCATTAATACTCAAACAGATTGTGATACAGGGCAAATGGGTGGTGATGAGAAAATTTTAAATGCTGTACTGGACAGTACACCAACACAGCCGATCATATTTAGAGAAATTTGGGGAAGTCCTACAAGCAAGCTAAGATCTACATGGGAAAGAAGAAAAAGCTTAATGGCAGCCGCATTCTTCGTCAACAAATTCTACTAGTGCAAAGGTTGTGGGTGTTAAATATAAGGTTCAAGTCAATTCAACAGAGACATAAGCCTCTCTGGAACGGACCCAATTTGATTACAAAGATTCATTCACATAGAAGGGCAAATTTGACAGCTTCAACTTCTAAATTTCAATGCATAATTGATAAACATCAACACATTTCATACCTACTGTTGCTTTATAACGCTGCTAAAGAGTGGTTAATTCTAAAGGAACAAGTGACGTGATCACCAATTTCCTTCCGTTCTGTCTAGCTATAGACATTAACTAAAGCGCTAGTTGGGAGGCAACCCAATTTTTCTAACTCTCTTTTATTTTATTTTCGTTTATTTGGTTTCTTGCCTTTATTTTTTTATATAAAAAAAATAATAAGAAAATTGGAAAAAAAAATTTGCACTTTTTTAGTTCTTGTCTAATTAGTTTTTTTTTAGTTTTTATTTTTATTTTTGGCCTTTGCAGATTACTTTAGGAGTTGATTTGGTCCTAAATTCCACTGAACGAAATCAAGGCAGCATTGATGCATTCACATCCACAACATTCATCAGAGATTTCATTATTAGTAGTAAAGTGCAGAAATTACACGAATGCAGAAAAGAACGAGGCAGAGTTTAAGAATGCTCACAGTACTGGGGATTTGCAAGGCCTCAATGCTAATTGGATCCCTTTTACTCTCTTTCTCACATTTCATTACAAAAAAATTTATTTTACAGACCAAGTTTGGGGGTGGGATCCAAGTAGCACAACGGTGAGATCGTTGTTCATGACCAAGTTCAGATGCAGATTCATGCGAAAATTTGGTCCAATATTCCTCATATGGCAAACATGCAAAGCACAGACAGAAACCAAGCACATGAGCATAGTGGGCAAATCAAGAGATACATGGATGCATGCATGTAATAGCACAAAGAATAAGACATGATGAATTTGTAGAGCTCTGCATGCATGACGAACAAGCCAACACACTGAGACCACATAGTTGCAGGGATATAGAAGCATACCTTTTCAATGCGGATCCGTGAGTCTCAGTTTCTCCATGGTCTGTATTTCTTCCGCATTTGGGATCTGTGCTAGGTGGTTGCATCTCCTTCTCTCTGTCATCTTCGTTGTTTCCGATCAAACACTACAACACAGGAAACACACATGCATCAGGCAATTTTCATTCATTTTTCCCTAATCTAAGCATCTGAGACAAAATGGGGATAAAAAAATACCTGTGAGTGTGTCAGACTCAGAGAAGGATGCGATTTGCTGTTTCATCTTCGTAGGCTGAGGGTTTTGTTGCTCGAGGGAACTGGATTTTTGAGACATGGAGGCATCAAGAAGATAAACGAGGACATCGCAGAGGAGTGGTGACTGAACTCGAATGATTTTGGTTTGGACAAGTTTTGAAACGAAGGCCTTCATGGCGTTGGGCTCGAGGTTAGTGGGAACCGAAGAGAGCTAAAAGACTCCCCTCTTATTCCCATCCCCTTCCCTCCCCTACTCTCACACTTTGTTTTTTGTCTTATTGTCTCTATAAAAAAGTCAATATAAGATGTTGACGTGACTTAACCGTAATCATTCAAGTGGGAGGGGAGAGAAGGGGAGGGATATTAGGAGGGGATAGAATCCTCCCCCTTGTTAGATGAGCATCTAAAATGCTAAATGGAGCTTATATAGGGGTGTTCTACACCTAATGCCCTAAAGCCCTTGTGGTTTGGGAGTCATTGACCTAAAGCTCGTTACATATGT